CCCTGCCCCTCTGACTGCAGCTGGCTCCTTGCCCCAGGGCCTCTCCTCTCCCTGACATACCCAGGACTGCACCTCCAGGCTGTGGCTGAGCTGCTCCCCGCACCGCAGCGTGCACCTCAGTGCCCTCTGGGCTGCTCAAATATCTCCTGGCCACAGGGCCTTTCCACTGATGTGCCTGGCAAAAACCCAGTCCTGGACCCTTGCCACACTGGTGAGACTGTCAGGAGACAGGACTCTGGGAGTTGCTGCTGGGAGCAGAGGGAGTTGAGCAGTATCCAGCAAGCGACATGGCATTTATGCTTAGGCCCAGCAGTAGTCTCCCAGCAGGATGTGTCCCAAAGGTGCACTGGCATTTGGCTCAGTGGTTCCGCCGCCTGCCTCACAAGCCAAGGACCCGAGTTTGATCCCTGGTACCAAAAAAGCCCAAAAAAACCCCAAAGGTGCACTGGCAAAAATACAGAAAAGATGCGGGCACAAAGCCATTAACTGCAGCATGATTTATAATAGACAAAACTGAACCTATCTATCTGACCCCTAGGTGTGATCGGTTGGATAAGCAAGGAAACCCCCACATCTGAGCACCTACACTTGGAAGAGGACACTGTTCAGAGTGACCTTTGGCACCGAGTGCAGGACAGTCCAGAAGTGGGTTGGGTGAGGTGTTGCCAGGTGGAGGACTATTGAATGTGCTGTGCATTTGCCTATGTTGGAAATCCTGTGGATTTGGAGAAGATGGTGGCAGAAGCAAGAATTTTGAATCCCCTCGAGTCCTCCCATAAAACTCAGAGCAGCAAGCAGAAAAACGAAGCTCAAGGGCATCCTCACGAGCAGGTGGAGGCCAAGTCCCAGCCTCACCGCACAGTTAGCACATGTGTGCAAGGCCCTCATCACCCTGTCACAGTTTTTTTTTTTTTTGGTACCAGGGATCAAGCTCAGGTCCTTTGGCTTGCAAGGCAGGCGGCAGAACCGCTAAGCTAAATCCCCAGCCCCTGTTACAGTTTTGATCTGAAATGTCCCCCAAATTTGGGAATTTGTACCCGTAAGAAATAAAAAAGAAAATGTCCCCCCAAAGTCTCAGGTGTTCCAAAGTGAGTTTTTTGGAAGGTGTTTGGATCACGGGGCCACTGTATTGGTCAGGGTCAGGGGCGACTAAATGTGCTGTGGAGGGAGGGGCCTGGTCAGAGGAGGTGGCCCACTCAGGGTGTGACCTTGTCCCTGCCCTCCCCCGCTTTCTGGCTGTGATGGGTTGAGAAACTGCAGTTTCTGCCTTAGAATCAACAACCATGGACTGGGACCTCTGAAACCTCTCCGGTACATTATGGGTGTCAGGTATTTTGTCCCAGTGATAAGAGAGCTGACAGGGCCCGGGATTTAGTGCGGTTCCAGGGCCTGCCTTGCAAGCGTAAGGTCCTGAGTTCAATCCCCGGTACCCCCCCCCAAAAAAAAAGAAAGAAAGAAAGCTGACTAATACACCCTTTCTTCCTAAGCAACTGAGACACTAGACAAAATAGATGAAATTATAATTTTCAGACACTGGACATCAGGTGGTAAAGGCCTGAGAGAGGGATGAGGCAGGGCACTACGGGTGGTACAGCTGGAGCCATAGGGCAGGGGACTGGAGAGGAGGGGCCTCCCAGATGAGAGCTCTGGAGACCCAAAGAGAGTCCCAATCCCTCAGCAGAGGTCTGCTGAACCTGCGTAGAAACTGCCCTGGCTGGGAAGAAACGCCCACATGGAGGGCACACACAATCTGGAGAGCCAGAGTGAGGGGTCCCTATATGTCCACTGGCCCAGGAAGCCCTCATGGCCCACAGGCAGCCAGCATGCTTCCAGCAGTGGACAGCAAGCTAGACTGCTCTGTCCAGCTTGATACAGTCAGGAGGGCTGGAAGGGATCCAAGTATTTCCAGATAACGTAGCTTTGTCTAGAACCACAGAGGAGGGTCTGCTGAAAGGCAGACAGCATGTGCAGGGAGGTAGGCAATGCTGCCTCTGGTCAGGAAGAGGAGCGTAGCCTGTAGGGAGAGGCTGGTCACGGAGAAACAGTGGGGCCAAGCTAACACAATGTTATCTGTTATGGACCACGTGCTGGGCCCTCCAGGGCTGGGAGGACCAGAAAATGGGTGGAAAGATAGATGCCTCGCCTGGGAAAGCTTGCCAGCAAGACAGGTGCGAGCCATCACAAGAATAGGAGTAGCAGTAGAACAAAACTCATCTGCAGGGGCAAATACAAATGTGCAATGCACTTTAAAAACCCAGTAAGATGGCATTGTCGGACTTGGAGGAACCAGCTCCTCAAGGAAAACAGAGGTCGCACCCATCAGCGACACCAGCATCACTAGAAACGTGGTCTGGCTCTGTGTGCCCCTGATGGAAGGACCACACCACCAGCACCCTCAGGGGAAGTCTTGCCAGAAACTCAGCCTGATCCAGGTGTGCAGAGGCTCTGCACCCCACTCACCCTGGCATCCCTGGGAGCTGGGAGTGCCTCTGACTGCATCCTGCCACACCTTCTCTGGCAAAGTAGAGACTCCCAGCAGGAGCAGCGGATCTGCACTGCCTTTCCCTCTTGCCCTCCTCCCCCTTTCTCACCTCAGACCTTCTCCCAAAGAAAGTTCTGATTTTAGTACTAACTGTATGCTCTGGGCTCTGTCCTGCAGACCCTGACTCTGGGGTTCACATCTATCCGTGGGAAATGCAAGACGCGGGGACAGGCATTCTGGGTTGCAGGCAGAAACCCAGGGCAATGGACTGTTTTTGCCACAGGCCACTCAAAAGGGAATGAAGGTATGCAAGGGAAATAATGGGTTGCAAAGGGAGGGGAGGGAGGGTGGTGCCTTCCTTAGGGTCTGACTAACCCGACAAAGTGCATCCCTCAACAATCAGGGATTTTAGCCAGCGAGGTGGTGCCTCCCTGGAGTCCCAGCACCTGGGAAGCTGAGGTGGAAGGATTGTTCAAGGTTAGCCAGGGCTGCAGAGTGAGTTCAAGGCCAGTCTGGACTACATAATGA